ATAGATACACCAATTGTAAAATTAATTATAAGAAAGAACACAAACTATTTTCTATTGTTGGATTTTACTGCTCTTGATAAACCTATCCATTTCCCGAGTAAAAACTATTTCATTAGCAGTTAAGGGTATCACATGTGTTGGTTTTCTTCTCCTTCATCTGCCTCTGGACTTTAAAAACTCCCTGGAAATTCTAAGCATGCTTATATTTCACAAAACATAGAAACATCTCTATGAGGTTCAGTATTCATTCAGTCTCAAGGGTGTTGTGAAGTTTAAATTAATTAATGTCTCGTAAGCAGTCTGAAATCCTCAGATGAAAGGATCTGTACGGGCCGAATTCAGATCTACCCAGTGTAGCTCACATCAAAAGTGGCCCCAATATATTCTGGTACAAAAGATACCAACAAGTCCTAATAATTTATTATTATCCTACAAAATCAGTTCAGTTTACAGGGCAAACTAGAAATTTGCTAACTGCAAACACTGCAAATCCACAGTGGGATTCGAAAGCCTTGGTGGTTTCCTTCTGCCTCCATTAATTAAGATGCTGCAATCAAAGCTTAGCTGATGACTTGTTGGTAACGCGTGAACTGGAAAGGAACCAAGATCCCCTCTGAGAGAGGTGACCTGTGCAGAAACAGCCTCAGACAAAAGTCCCCCTCAGAAGGACAGAAACATATTTGGGCAGATGCAGACCCGTCAAGTCTCATATTGAGAGTGAGATTTAGACAGACTCTTCCTTCATGTTCCCTAACAGAGGGATGCTCCTTCCAGCAAGTTCAATGGGCACTGTCCACCTGTGCCTGCAGAAAGAAAGGATGCTATTTCACAGTTCTCATTTTTCTGACCAAAACTGTGCTTTAGATCCTAAACTACCGCAGAGCAAAATACAAAAAATTGCATTAAAATACCAGGCTCAGAAATTAGTAAATATAAGACAGTACTCAAGATGCTTCTACAATCTGCCCACTATGAGCATGTGTTACAGGTAATGCCTTCATTATCTACAAGTTAGGGAAAATACTATTACCTTTTCTATTGGCATGGAGTTGATTATACTGTCAATGACTTCTCACAGGTAATCTGTGAGAAAGAGAGGAATTCAACATGGGCCTTCTGTATCCTAAAGTTAAAAATATCTTTAAGAGTATGTCAAAAGGTGAACCTTCAGACTTCAACCTTGCTGTACCAGGAAGCTAGGAATCCTCCTTGGCACACAAAAATGTTTTGTAACTCAAAGTCAAAATCCAAAGGCTATGCCAGTGGCACCACTTCTGTTCTCCTCACCATAAAGAGGTCTGCTGGGGTGTTCCAGAATTAAGAAGAAGGAAAATCAGAGGCCAAAATATTTTGCCAGGTCCTAGGCTTGCTCAATGTTGGCTGCAACCAGATTAACTCATAGCAACACTAGGACCGCTTATTTCTTCCTTTCTCCCCTCCTATATTAATATCAACCAGAAAACTGATAGAATGGTCTACTACGCCAACTGTAAAAGCAGCATATCTGAGGACTCGGCTGTATTCCTGTGTGTTTCCAAAAACAAACTTTAAAATGAAAAGGGAGAGGTTTACTTTTAATAATCTGCTTTTGTATTATGCACTTGGAAGAAGCCATTCTTAGTTAAAGTTATCTGAAGCAGAAGGGATATTTTGACCAAGGGTGAAGTAAACTCCCAAATTTCATAATTAGCTGACTAATCATTAAATTAGCATAAATCACCTGGCTATAACAGATATGTTTCATTTCAAACATTGCAACAGTGCCCCCAAAAAATCAACAGACAACTTTAAAGAAAACATATTACAAAACATAAAATAATTTGCTATCTACTGTTAATTAATGTAAATATAATTTATTGCTGTACATTTTAACTAGAAGTAATCACTTTGCCCTAAAGCATCAATTCCCAAAGGTAAGATTACACTATTTTTCTATCAGCAATTCCCAATTATGCTCAAACTTCCACAAGAAAAATTCTTTTCTGATTACAATGAGATCTAAGATTTAAAATTGGTTATTTTTGTCTCATGCATCACCAGGAGTAATAAAGGTTGCGGGTGTCCAAATGTTTCCTAAATGACACCTGTGCATGTTAAGCTCCATTCAGTTTCTTCCCCCTATGTCACATCTGCATATCCTCTCTTAGCAATAATACTGCATTCTTTTAATCAATAGGCCTTAAGCATGTTAGAAAGATGAGTCAGTATCAATATCCTATTATTATTCCTACCGCCTTCCAAAGATTTGCGTAACTCTTTAGAACTTAAATAAACCATTCTGATGATAATGAATGAAAATAAAAAGAAATTCATCTCCCTCACCTACATTCATTTACACATCTACAAAGAATAAAAGTTATGACAAATGCAGCAGACAAAATTCTAAATCCCCAGTGAAACACAGACGCTGAGTAAGGTGATGTCTTTGTTACAAAATTCATTTCAGGATAGCACTGCATGTTAATAGCAAAACCAGATAACTCTCTAAATGTCTATGTTTAGTCAACAGTAAAAACCCTATGACTATAACTAAAATATATAAATAACAGATATCAGAGTCAGTATGACAGTCTTGATAAACTCTGAAAGAGGAAATTACTAAAACAGTCGATTACAATGAACAAATATATACAGTCAGCACTAAAATGCACAAGAGCAAAATGCTGATATGTTGTATATACACTCTCATCTATCTTACCATTTGTTGATAAAAGTGAGTGAGCTGCATTTTGCTGTGGTAACCACTTGATCTTGTTTATTTTTTCTTCTATCTCCAAGCTCTTCAAATAATCAAATTCAGGTTCATGGCTCTGGAAAGTGCTGTAAACATTGTACTCCCCCTGATTGTAAGGCTCATTTTTACTCTATGGAGAATAAGAACAACAAAAACATGTGGTTTATGATGGCAATATATCTCCATCTCTTAGGAAAGATGTATAAGCAGCCTTACAGATATAAAAATATTAAAAGTGTAATTTAATTTCTCATTTAAAACATGATATTGATAGATTTGTTTCTACAGGAATGAAATTTCCTGTAAGTATTGAGGCAACATTTAATAAAAGGCAGAATTTTTGAAGAAATGTCAATTATTCAGGAAAGCTTTCTACAAAAGATACTGTAGATGGACTGATTTTAAAAGTGAAACATAAAGGTATTGGAGCAAAGGCATTGTTTTAAATGGAATGGTTCCATCAAACAGGCAAAAGCTATTAAAACAATGTAGAAGCAAACCAAACACAACCATCTTTTTTCTTGGCTTAGAATTTTGGAGTTTTGAAGCATTTTTGTTTGGGACAGCAAACTTCCAAGTAAAAGATCCTTACCCTCGTTCACTTCCTTTCCAAAGCGCTGACATTTTGTTTTACTGAATCTTGAGATTATAAATAAGTTTGTTAGTTAGATCCAATTAAAGTATTAAAAATAAAGCCAGGTTTTAGCAAGCTATTAAGGACTACACAGGTAGCTCACATACCTCAGGTTCCCTTTGGAATATAACAACCCGACCCCCCTTGTCACCAGTAGCCAGCAGTTCTCCAGTGTGGTTGAACTCAACTGTAGAAATAATATCAGCTGGAGGAAAAAAGAGGAAAAAAGCTAATTTTAGACTGCTACTACAACACAAAGCCATTAGAAATATCAAGCACTTCACAAAAAATGCAACAAATGAGAGATTTGAAGGAATACAGATGAATTCAACAAGAAGTCACTAATGCAAACAGGCTGCATGCCATTACAATCTGAGGTTGCTACACAATGAAATAAGTGCAAACATAACAAGGCAAATTTGTGTTTCCAGCACATCTGCAGTTTGGGAGTGGAGGAGATCTCTGGAGAGGTTATGCTTCAAGAAGAGCAATCTCAGGCTGCTACAAAGCTTTTTTCAGTGCTGGAGTTAGCAACAGCATTGGCCTCCTGCTATTTCCTCTAGCAAGGACCAACATAACATCTCAGTCCTGTCGCATGTATTATTTATTCTTCACTATTTATGAAGGTTTTAATATAACCCTCTAGCACTAGTTTTCTCAAATATGTGTTTGAGCCAAGAATGCAAAAGCAAAGTACATGTAGCCTGTCCTGCCACAGAGGAATGAAGGCAAAACCAGAACTGCTCACTGCGCAATGCTGGCAAGAGCCCATTCAAATCATCGTTTTTGGTAAATCATTTGAGCACCATAAAAATGTGCCATCAGAAGATAAAAAGATCCCAGTCTCTCCTTTTTCTAATTCTCAGCAACTCCCTTTCCCTAAGCAATTGCATCAGCTTAAACAAGAAACCTCATCAAAACCTGAGGCCAGTCTTGAGCACAAATTACTATACATCAGGATGAGAAGGGAGAAAGAGACTGTAGGAGCAAAAGAACTGGTTCTTCTGTCTGTATGACAGTAAATGCTAGAATCGTAATCCACGGTTAATCCTACGCTATTAGCATAATTTAAATTAAAATGTCTAGTGCAATAGTAAATTAAGAAGCCATCATATATACAATCACACACAAATGCAGGGTGTTACTCAAAGATGGCATGTATGAATCCTCTATAATGATCAGTATTCACTCATCAGAAACACAGGCCAGATTTTCAGAAGCGTCAGTAGTTAGCAGCTCCCCTTTAGGCATAAAAAGCTGTGGTTTTCAAACATGTTCATCATCCATCAGTTTATGCTCAGAACAATGAGGCGACAGTGGGCTAAGCTCTTTTGAAAACCTAGCCCCAAATGAGTTCACTAAAATTCAAAGGAATTGAAATAACAAGTGGATGTACCATTTACTTGATACATTTTATGAATTGAAAACATCTGTTCCTATTATTCTTTTAATAAACTAGCAGTTGAGTGTTAGAAAGCTTCTATTGCCAGTAGCTCTGATCAGCAACACAGCCATCCAAAAGCCAGATTCTTACTGGAACATTACAAACAATTCACCATCTAAAAAAGCAAAACTTTTTAAGAACACTTCTCCATCAAATTGTTCTGTCTTCAAAAAACCAACGTTCCTCTTTTTACCTCCACGCACTACATATATAAAGGAGGAAGGGAGACTCATAAAGCATGTATGTGATTTTCCTTTTTGCTGAATAAAATGTATGATGTGTAGACTTTGAGAAAAATGGAACATGACGACTTACAATATTTTGGGTCTGAACCCAAAGCTTCTCAAAGTTAATGGCATTTTATTTTTATGTGGACTTCCACAGACTGTGTATTTTATAGGTAATAACCCCCAAAGCCCTAGTATTATTAGATTACAGAAAGAGTAGAGAGACCGCTTACGGCTGGTGATGCTCTGGGACTAGGGATGGGTTGAGTTTGATCTAAAAAATTGCTAAAAAAAATGCTTTTTTTTTTTTAAATCTAAAAATCTAATCAACTTTTCTGGCATGTAAAGTTCGTCTGTAGTGCTTCCGGTGGAAGAACATTTCTTGGCTATTTTACTCTTATCCTGCAAAATTCATATTGATATTAGATGTGAGCTCCTGCTTATAAAATGATACCTGCATGATTTTGCTCATTTAAAGTTGTATCTTACCCCAACCCTACAGGCAGAATTGCAGAAGTCTCATACTGACAGGTCTTTTAGAATGGAGACTCTTACTTTAAGCGTGCAACGGGGGAGAAGGGTAAATGGAGAGGGGAGGAGTATAGTATCTATTAGAATATGGGTATATTTGTGTGTGTATGCATGTGTATGTGTAATGTATATGTGATTTCTCAACGGGTCACAAAAGAATTAGATAAAATAACTGCACAAAAGGAATGAATGGCATTTGAACTTACATGTGTGGATACACTTGCTCTCGCCACAATGGCATGAAACACCATGGTCACGTTGGTCATAAAATACTACATTGCACTTTTCAGAGGGCGTTAGCCCTCTAAAGTCCACAGGAGTATTTGCACAGACTTCAATGGTAACTGAACCTGGGTTATAATAAAACAGCTCTGCATTTTGTCATATTGCATTTGTCATTAACATATTGTGTGCAGTTAAGTGATTATTGTTTAAAGAAAAGCAGCTAAAACATTAAGCATCTGTGGGCAGTGTGTAATGATGTTGTTCTGAGGCAAAATTCTCTCCCCCCCAAGGTGTTTCTTCCAGATGCATCCCTCCTTTCTATTAGAAAAACTAATTCTAAACTGGAAACTACCTATCATTTTTAAATTAACTTGTTCTGAAAAAGAGCAGATGCCATATTCTGACCTTAGAGGAGCTTGTTGGTAAAAAATTATCTTTGAATTGGAAAATCACTTTTATTGATCCTGTAAATAACAGCTGAAAACAACAGCCAAAAAAAAAAATCTTATCTAGCGTA